TAATCTAAGAAATAATGATTTTATATAAAAAAAAATTGATCTCACATAAAAACAGATTTTTTTTTTTAAATCTATCAGCTGTTAAATCGCTATCGCGCCACTAGGAATTCATTGTTAGTTTTAAATTACCATATGTTTAATATCCGTAATCCTTGTTTTTTTCCTTTTCGTCACCCATAGAGTCATTTATCTGGAGAATTTACCGCACAATGTTCAATATATCGAATTTTAAAACATGTCATATCCTATCTATGTATTTTTTCTATCATGCTTTGTTCCCTTCATTATCTCTTATTTTGAATAAATTTCTTATATTCATTTCCTGGTTGCCATGCACTTACATCTGTCCTGCTGGGTATGTCACCTATCCCCCATTTTTCACCATATACTATTTTAGTTATATCTTCTGCTAATTTATACGCCGTAAACATGTATTCCTCTAAATTATGGCCTCTATTGCCAAATCTTTTACAGGCACTCGGTGGCACTGTCTGATATTACTACACCCTCTATTTATGTGTCTATGTTCACCACAATTAAAATATGGTCCACTTTACCCCATTTTGATTCACCAACCCCTTTTATTTTCTCCTCCACACATATTCCCTAAGTCATTTTCTCCACGTTTTCTATTATTATTCAGTTTATGCCTCTGGTGGGTATACGAATCTATATTTTTATTTCCTGACTCATAAACTATTAGACTCTCATGTAATCCTTTAACCTGGATTTTCAGTTCCTCCATCACTTTTCTTTCTAAGTTCTAATCATTCTCTTTCAATTTTTTCTTTCAGTTTCATCTCTTTTTCTTCCATTTAATTATTTTCTTATCAATTCTTATCCATTCTTACCAATTCCATTCCTTCCTTTATTTTTAATTTCACTTCTTCCATATCCTTTTTCCTTGATTCAATTTTTTCAAATTTTATTTTTTCAATTTCCATTTCTTCCCAATTTTATTTTCTCCAATTTTTCCAATCCCACTTTTTCCAATTTTATTTTTTTTCATTTCATTTTTTTTTTCAATTTTATTTTTTTCCATTTCATTTTTTTTCCAAATTTATTTTTCCCAAAATTTATTTTATTCTTTTATTTTACGCTTTAATGCACATATAATCCACATAAATAAAACTAATAATACCACTAGGCAAACATTTATTAAATTTTTTATTTCCAATTGTAATTATGTTTCTATGTTATGTTTTTTGAACATTTTGAGTTTTTTCCTTCCTATTTTTTAATTCCAATTTGGGATTTATACTCATTTCCATATGTAACCTAACCCCTTAACCCCCCATCCCCCATCACTTCCCATCCACCCTCTAATGTTTTTTTATTAATTTTCGAATTTCTAGCCATTGACATATATTAATACCTAAACTTACGATGCATTCATTAAAAGTGCGCATCAACGAAAAACAGCTGGGAACGCCATCTTGGTTACCCATATCCATATTTTAAAAAAAATTTTAAACGAGATGCCAATTTAATTTCTTATGTCTGAACAACTCAAACTTTGTTAAAGAATTCCCCTGATCAACAGAGATAATGAGAAAGTGAGTTATCGATTTTGTTAGTAGTTTCTTTTAACATGAGAATAATTTACTATATGTGCCATACCAAAATGGCGGGTATAGCTGATTTGCATTCATCGACGCTTTCGGTTTATAGCAAACTTATTAGTAACTTCTATTTAAGAAAGAAAGAAAGAAAGAAAGAAAGAAAGAAAGAAAGAAAGAAAGAAAGAAAGAAAGAAAGAAAGAAAGAAAGAAAGAAAGAAAGAAAGAAAGAAAGAAAGAAAGAAAGAAAGAATACATACTCAACTTGATAAAGTATATGCAAAAAATACATTATAAAAATGATTGATAAAAATTTTGAATTTGGAATATTAAATACTTTCCTTTCTATATTTTGATTATTATAGCTCGTAATTGGGTAGGGTTGTATACATTGGTTTTTAATCGCGTTAGCTTTCGCGTATCTCGTCACGTCCAATTAAAAGGCACCGCTTGGCTGGAAGCGCGATTTTGATTTTTCCATTTAGAATACATTCTATACTATAGGCGTAGCTAAAATATTAGTTAGGCGTTGATGGGGGGGGGGGGGGCTAGGCATAATTATGCGAGTTTTTCTGCATAATTTTACTTGGAAGTCTTTGGGTGAACTCGTTGTTGGCCTTTGTCTATATTAGATTTTATTGATAATTTAGAGTTATGGTCGGTTGTTTTTAAAAAGTTATTAAACTTTTATACTAATTTTTTTTTTAATTTATTTCCTTATAAGTGATATAGTGTATACATTTTCGGGAGAGAGGGGTTGGACTGTTTAAATTTTTTTATAAGCTTAAAATGAATATTAATGAAAACAGGTAAATTTCCGTTTCCGTTTGCGTCCCCCCCCCACCCTGGCTACACCTTATGATATATTCAGTATTTTTATGTATTTCGTTAAAATATTAGAAATGAAATTTTATATAATAACTTGATTTTTATATTCCCAAAATTTATTTTATTTTCTCTTAAACATAGACAATAAAAATAAAAAAAAATTATAATAATATATATTATGAATTAATAAAAAATAATCAAAAAAGAAGAGAAGAGAAGCTGGAACCTATTCTAGCTTTAAAAATAATGATACAGATGTGTTGGAAATATAAAATTCCAGCTTTCTTCACTTTCGTAGATTTTAGCAGAGCTTTTGATAGCGTAAATCATTATGCCCTGTGGAGAACACTTTTGGAATGCGGGATTGAATCTAATGTTATCTACATTCTAAAGAATCACTATTCTAATTTATCTGCTTGTTTTAAAATAAACAATAAAGTATCCCCCTCTTTCAAAATTAAAAAAGGTGTAAAACAAGGATGCACACTTTCACCTTTTTTGTTTAATATCATAATGTATAAAATCATAAAAGAAGCCCTGGGAGCTGCAAATCTAATAGATATAGGTTCAAATCTTATAATAAGTGTGCAAAATTGAATAATATCTTATGCTGATTGTTAATTGTGTTCAATTAACATAATTTATTGTAATGTTAATTTAAATTTGTGATCAGTTGAAATAATTTATTTTAATGTTAATTGAGTATTAATTTGAATATCTATTGAAATGTTTCATATTATATACCAGTTGATTGTTATACATATTATTATAATTATTTGATTTTTTAAAGTAGAAATAAAATTAATTTAAAACTCAAAAAATAACTTGTTTCCTTCACTAATGATATAGCCATTGTGTCTACAAGTGTTGAAGAAACAAAAAATATGTTATACTTATTAGAAACATTAAGTTTGAGATTGGGTCTAAAAATAAACTTTAATAAAACTTTTATTCTTCCTTCCCCAAATGCTACTCAAAATTTAAATTTTACAATTATAGGAAATGTGATTAAGATTGTAGATAAAATAAAATATTTAGGAGTTATGCTTGACAATAAAGGATGCTGTAAAGAAGAACTGAAAATTAGAATAGAAAAAGCGAGAGGGGCGTTTTATAAATATATGAAAATATGGAAAATGAAAGAGATTTCTGTACACACCAGACTAATAATTTTCAATTCTACTATAATTCCTATATTAATATTTGGTGGAGATTTATGGGAAATTAATAAAACAGAAAATGGAAGATTACAATCATTCCTAAATAACTGCCTCCCAACTATAAATGGTATCTTTTACCCAAAAGTAGTATCTAAGAATAATTAATGGAGAATATCAAAACACACTCCAATTGATATTACATTAAAGAAACATGGCATTCAATTCCTAGCTCACATTATAAGGAACTTAGACCATAATCTAGTTCATGACGCCATTACATGGCTCTACAGTTATAATAGGAAAGAATACACAAAATATAAATCTTTATGGTATTATAAAACCATAAAAAATATTATGGAACTAAACTTAAACATGAAACAATTTATCAAGTTAAACAACTGCAAAAATTCCATAAAGAAGCTCTTCAGAATTATAGACAAATATTTTAAATAAAAAATATCTGGGCTTGTTTTTTTTAATGTTAATTAATCTCAATTAGTATTTTCCAAACCTTTTCAGGACAAACCGAAATGGAATTGGTATGCTCTTTAATTTTTTTTTTAAAATGAATTCACAGCTTTAATTTTAAAAAAATTAAATTAAAAATCAGCCACAACCCACCTTTAAAGTAATTAACTTATACTGCAGTTCTTGGGCATAGGCTTTTTTTTTTGCCCCGCTCTTATTCTTAAAGCCTATGGACCTCTGTAACATTTTTCGAAATGTTGCATGTACAAGTACGTGCGGCTTGACGCGTAGAGAGCTCCTCATATTTTTTTAAACTTTCACCCCAATTAACTCATGTTCCAATTCAGCGTCTACATGACAGGATTTTCAATGGATGCAAACCCCCTTCAAAAACCTTTGCCTACCCCCTAAAAAATCGTCGCCTTCGGCGGCGGTGTCTCTTTCTCATTATTTTCACCTATTTATTTATTGATACTCTTTTCAAGAATTTATAATGGATAACATAAATTAATCTATCTCTACTAACAACTATCTATATTTTGTGAATATAAAGAATTTATTTTTTATATAATAAATTCAATTAAAACCTCCATATTTACAATGAATTAATTATTATGGCATCATAAGCTTGCTAAAATATCTAAACCTTTTAAATTACATTTAAAAAGATAGTTTATTTAAAAAACAATGTGTATGATTGTTTTCAATATATAGATTTGGTCGATGAATTGTATTATAATAATACTATAATAAAAGTATAATTTTTACAGCAAAAAATTTTGTCCTATTTCATCTCAAAATTTAATAGATAACCCCCAAAAAAATTTATCCTACCCCCAATAAAGCAGCTTACCCCCTACCCACTCAAAAAAATAGGATGCAAACTGTTTCTACCCCTCCCGCTCATGTAGACGTCCAATTAGATGGAAATGAGGAATACCTAGCGTAGTTCTGTTGTTTATTCAACGTCAGAGGGCATATGCGCTATATATCAAGAATAGATAATTAAAATTTTTCATATTATATTTTTATAAATTAGTATAACTCATACTCACTACCTCTTGACCTTAGAAATTGAAAATCCATGCAAATCAAACTTGATTTGGCGTCGTTATTTATCCACTTGCACCTTTTATAAAAAGGTTAACTAACCCTCAACCCATATGGTTATTTAAAAAATGAGTGAAAACAGTAATATTTAAATATATTTTTGCGTTATTCTTTTTTCTCTTTTAGTTTATAATCTTTTAGATTCAAATATTCTTAATAGTAAAGATATAAAATTGGAGGTAATAAATATATATTTTTTTATACATTATAATTCAATTGAATTTTGATAATTTTATAAGCTCTTATTTTTCTCTAATCTTAATATTTTATTAACTTAAGCCAATACCTTTAGCCTATTTAGATCAAAAAGATGCAAATATTCAACCAGGGATTGTCAAAAAGTTTTTACAAAAACATTGTGGCTCTAAAACAAAATCTAAAGATATACATTCTACATCCTACATGATATTTAATTTAAGAAAACATGTTATCACCAAAAAACGCAAAAATATCTCAAAAATAAATTCTGATAAAGATATTATAACATTTAGGCCACATAAAAATAAGAAAAAGTATCCACCCATATCTGCCAAATACTCCAGAAAATTTAATATATATAAAATTCCCTCAAATTTAAAGTAAGTAGATAATTGCGTTAGTTCATTTATCTTAAAATTTTTTTTTTTTACAAAATATGATAATATAAATAAAATAATTTTTAAGATATGAAACATTTGCTTTGCTGCATCAACTATGGAAAGAATATGCATCAAAATTGCTTGACATAGACAGGTTAATTGAATAATTTTATTTGATATATTTAATTTTTTTAAAATCTACATTTTCACAACTAAATTTTATGCATAAAAGACATATAATCAATCATAATTGTTAATGCTCAAGTTAAAATCAGCAGATGGAGAAAGAATACCATATATATATATCTTCTAGATTTTATTAAGAAATTTTGAATTTATTATGATTAAGAAGATTCAAAACTACACTTTATCTTTTAGGAAATAAAAATATCATTTTCTAAGATCATAATTAAACTAATACAAAATTTAAAAAAATGTATATTCTATATATTCAAAGTTGTTAAAGGATTGAAATCCTTAATTCAATCCCAATTTTTGCAAATTGTTTGAATCGAGAATCTTTTTAAAATGTGGATCATGATCAAGATCCTTTTTTTTATTGGACTTCAACTTTTTTTTTGAATCGAGAAGGAAAAAAAATATCTTTTTCTAAAGTTATAATTGTACTAATACAAAATTTTAAAAAAATGTAAATTCTATATATTCAAAGTTGTTTAAGGATTTGGATTAAATGATTGACAATCCTGGATTTGATCCTAATTTTGACAAATTGCCCAAATCAATGATCTTTTTAAAAAGGATCATGATAAAAATCCTTTTTTAATGGACAATCTTTCATTCCTTAAAAATTTATTCATTACTTTTCATAAAATACATAAATAAAATAGAATTAAATACAAAATTTTAAAATAAAGAAATCTATTTCCATCATATTTTCACGTCACAATTTATATTAATTTCTCACCAATTTTTATTTACATCTTAATCAAGACCATATTTACTCATGGCAGGAGTTTTTTAAGAAAACAAATTTGGCAAAGAAAATAATGAAGAGTTCAAATCAGTAGATCTGAATATTCTTTCTGCAGACATCCCCTATAATTTTATCATCATTAACCTACAAAGTATTAACGTCACTCCTGCCATAATCTAAATCTTAATGCAAACCAATGCAGATAATGTTTAAAATGATAAAATAACATTTCTAAAGTATATAAAAGTAGAGGTTATCACAGCCCGGCCAAAAAACCTTGCCCGCAGACCCAGGGAAAAGATTTGTAGACTGAACTAGCTGAAGAAGATTACCTTGCAAATTAGGATTTTATAAAATAAGCAATCCAGATTGCAGAAAAATGTATCATGGGAAAAAATATGTGTTACATAAAAAGGATAATAATCTCAATGATTCCTTTGTTTAATAAGATTAGGATTCAATCCATTTAAAGAATCGATGAAGGTCAAATTTTTTAAAATATTCAATCTTTAATTTATAGATATAATTTAACCCTTTAGGCATTTTTTTTCTTCCCTTCTTAGCCACTATAACTTCCTTTTTATCACGAACAAGTTAGAGAGATCTTCAAGTACCCTTTTCTTCTCTGGAATGAAGACCAGTCTCCCTTTAAAAAAAGGGCATTCCATGAAATGATAAGTCCTGAAAGTAAAACGGATGGAATCAGTGTTAGCTTAATAAGCGGAAATGAGAACAATCTTGCCAATTAAGAGAAAAAATGGTAGGTAAATGATATATCATAAATCATTCTTTATTTATTCATTTTATTAAAATAAAAAGATACGATCAAATAGCCACACCTAACAAAATCAACAATGAATATTTGCAAATCAAAATACTGAAGATGGATTTACACGGCGCCATTTTGAAAGTTATCGTGAGCGAGAAATGCAAAACTCTCAAGGGATTGATCGGAATCATGATCAAAGAAACCAAAAACACTTTCAAAATCATCTGTAAAGACCATAGAGTGAAAAGTAAATGATAATCGAAATATTTTGTCCCTGAAGAAGCCGTTGACTATCGAAGTCTAATTTTTTTTGGTGGATCTTTTTTTTAGTATCCTTAAACTAGCTATTACATCTTGATCTATTATTTTTTAAAATTTTTTTTCGATAATAATCATGTTTTCGATTAATTGAGTAACTACATTAACCCCCCCCCCCCCCATTTTTCTTTAGATTATCGTTGAGATAAGGATGTCTTAACTCAATAGCTTGTACATATACACACTCTCGCCTTAATATATTTAAAGCTATCCCAAAATACGCAAACCATTTTGCCATGCAAGTCCGGAATCACCTGATAACTTTTGACGGGAACAACCTTATAACTAGACCTTACCAGAGAATAACCAGGAAATTTAAAGCGAAATTTTAATCTCTTAATATATATAGTCTTATGTAGAGTTGTTAAACGGCTCGTTTTGAGCTTATATTTTTTTAAAAACGGCAAACTCAATATTTTAGCCAGAAAAATATTGTTTCTAAGCCTCGAAATTTCGGTAATATATGTAAAGACCCATGTTCCTTCTATGAACAAAATCTTTAGGCTCGCGTAATATTTTTCTGGATAAAATATTGAGTTTCCCGTTTTTAAAACTAGCCATTTAACAATATTAGTCTTATGATTATTATTGTAATGTAAATATATATAATTTTATATCATTTTTTTGCTCAAAATGAAATTTTTACACAAAAAAAATTTTATAAAAACGCTAAGTATTTATTAAAATTAATTTTTATATTGGAGTTATTTTAAGTACGAGAAATACAAATTAAAAATATTCAAAAAGAACACGAAAGAGAAATTTTAAATTGAATTTTCTATTTAAAATACAAATAAAATATTACGAAAGAACGGTTTCGACCTCGAAGCCGAATAAAACTCAGCTAAGCCATTTTGGGGTATGATTGAGTTGGGCCATTTCGCATTACTATTTGGGAAGTTTTTTCTTCTAACAAATTAACATCAAGGCATCGTCTTAACTGACAAGGTTGGCAAAATTTGTGATTTTTTTTTTGAAAAAAATGCCAATTTATTTGATTTAAATCGCGATTAAATTAGAGAGGTTACAGATTTAGATTGAAAAATATCATACATCATAATTTTTTTTAAACCTTATTATAATATTTCTTTGTGAGTAAAAAGTTAATGCTTCGTGAGATCCTATCAGGAAGTTATCGCAAAAAAAATAATATTGGTAAGTCATGAGTTAATTAGATATTTTGTCAAATGGAAAGCCGACTATCAATCAAAAATTAGACGATATGCGCAGACTGTTTAAAAAAAAGATTAACTAGTCGATATGAGTGAGTTGGAAAGAAAGGCGTTCATTTTCTAACACGAAATAACTATTACGAATATCTAAACTTGTTACACCAAATTTAAATTTTTTTTTTTTGACTCTAATAAAATAATGGTAATTTTTTTATTTTAGCTACTACTGTTATTTCCCAATTGGGTCATTATGATAGAGAACAATTTCTTGGGAAATTTTCTATAAAATATTTATTTTACAGGTCAATTATTGATTTCTTTTTCATGTTTTACCAAAAATTATATAGACGACTATTAATGTGTTATTTAAAACGGTCAATTTGTTGGCTTAACAGAATTGTTGTTATATAATCACATGATCAGCCATACAGATTATTTAATAAAAATGATTAAATTTTATTGGTCATTTTTTTAAATAAATTTGATTTTGTTAATTAATCAAATTCACAATTTAAAAAAAACCATATAAAAAAAATTAATATTAAAAACGGCCATTCTATAAAAGTGGAATTGGGGATACAAGTTATTAAAAATACGAATAATTATATTTAAAATAGTTATTCAAATTTTTTTTGTTCCAAAATTTCTTAGGTTTTGATATAAGGAAAAGCTCATTTTGCCACCTATAAGTTTTTATTAAAGTTCTAATAAACATAATGATAAAGGGAAGAGATTATGATTGGTAAAAAACAGAATTTGTTAATTTTTATTTTCAAGACTATATTAAACATTAGATCTTGCATTTTATAGAAATTAAGATACATATGTGAAGTTCCTAATTAAGGATTTACTTAAAAAAAATGAAATAACTAACTGATTTCAAATGCACTTTATGTAGCTTACAAAGAAATAATAAAATTAAAAAAATTTATATCACAGAATCAGTGGTTATAAAATTATACTGACTAGGTCTACATTATCATCTATATCAATAAAGTTAAAATAATATTTGTAGATATCTCTTATCCTTAATGCTTCCTCATCCAATATATCGATGTTAGCTGGGTCAACAAATTTTTCATTAGAAAACTGTACAGCATCATTCATAGTGCATCCTTCCAAATCCAATATAACATTGTGTAATGTCATTATGGCTTTAACTATGTTTGTCACCTTTGAGATGGAGACAGCAAAATTTGTTGTAAGAACTTTGAACTTATTCAATAACATTCCAAAAGTATATTGCGAACATAATTTTGATTTGGCAAATCGTAAATTAAAGTTACTCTCTTCTTGATTTATCATATCTCCAGGGTAAGGTGTCAAAATATATTTGGTAAGTTCTAGATTTTCATTTCCAAGAAAAACATAAGGAGTTGCTAGATTAGATTTAGGTAAATTATCAGGCTCTGGTATATTTAGAGCATCATCCTCTAAATCTGTTTTAAAAAATATGTACATAATTTGTAATTGAAAATAGAAATAATTAATGACCTCTAAAAAATTTACAATTTTGGAATAATTTCTCATCCGTGACTTTGTTAAATGTAATAAGGTCTGAATATATAAATTTAAAAGATGGATCAACAATTCCGAATAAAAATGTCTCTAGATCAAAGCAGGTTGAAGCCTTAACTTGCAATTTTTTTATATCTATACTTCCTAAACAATGAGGAAAACCAAATCTTTGATAGTATTCATTAGAAATCTTAAAACAAAGATTACCATAAATAATATATTATTATAAATTACTCTTTCCCAATCTTTTTTTTCAAACTTTGGCATATGTAAGGGACCAAGTTTATCATATATAACTTTACAAACCCTCTCAATAAGTTTTGGCACAAAACGTCTGTTTAGTTTCTGAGTTTGAGAAATTCTTAACATTGATCCACCTGTGATCAAATATCTAAATAAACATTGGTTTAACATGTCAGTGTGAATATATACTCAAGAGTGATTTGAAGTATTTCTCGGGGACTTACTTCAGTTCTATTTTTGGACCTTTTTAAACCATTTTCTATATTTTTAAAGATATAATCAAATGTGGATTTATGGATTTGCAAGCGGTCATAAAATTCATCATCAGAAAGATTCTGGCATATATTTTCATAGTTTCTGTATATTTTCTTTCTACATTTTTTAGGTTTTATCACTTTGACTGTGTCTGACTCTTTTATACGGTTTTGATTATCATAGATATCAGCTGCTAAAGCTAATTTTAACGCTAACAACATTTTACTGTAAACACAAATAATACGAATACATAGATGGCGTAAATGAAAAGATATAATGTTAATTTTTTTACCATATGATTAAAAAGGTCTATTTCAAATGATAAAGTTACACTTATAATTCAAGCATAATAAAAATAAAATACAAATAATATATAATTTATGCTAAAATAATATTCAAATATATTCAACTTTCAGATATAACATTATTCTTTTCCTGGAGAGATTCTTTCCGGGGTCTTCAGGTCCTCTTCGGATGATGTGAAGAATTTTCTTTTAGTTTATGTTCATTAGTTATAGGCAATTTATTTTCTTTTGGAAGGTCAACACACTTTTCTTTTAGTTTTCCTGGTTAGTAGTATTCTCCTTATTAATGGTAAACTTAATCAATTTAAATCTCTTTTCTGGCGATTGTCAAATGTCATTTAGATTCCCTCGATTTCTTATTTCTTTGGGTATCCAACTGGTTGATTTCTTTGGTCACTTTCTTTAACCATATAGTATCATTATCTTAAAGAAAAGTTTATAGTTCGTCATTTTTTAAATTATCTTTAAACCGTTTTAATTTTGATGGTCCTAATGGCTCCCGTTTTAATAAAACGAAGCTGGAGTAAACATGGTTGCCACATGTGGAATTTTGCGATATACTAATAAAATTTCTTGAATTTTTTTTGCATATAATTTTTAAACTTTGTACTAATCTCCATACTTCCCTATTGGAGTGGATGATAAAGTGCTAGGTGGTGTATTATGTTGTATCATTTGCACCAATTTAAAATTGCATTCATTTCATTGAAAAGAGGATTGTTTGACAATATAAAGCGGATAACCAAAACAGGCAAATATTTTATTAAAATATTTTCGAGCTTAGCATTGTTAATCGAAATCGGTTCTTATTCCGCCCATTAAATAAACTGTCTATGAGGAGTTACGATAATTGTTCATTTACGTGCATCGCAAAATCGATATATATTCTGGTAAAAGGTTGGCTTAGGTAATTCCATTTTCTTTTTATTAGTTGTGTCGGTAATTTTGTATTCTGTTGATACGCGATACATTTAGACTATATTTTAAAATATCATAATTTATATTGGTACACCATATATACAAATATTCCAATTATTGCATTCAAATGAGTCAGGGATGTCCTACGTGCAATATGTTTACTGAATCTTTTATTAATGACCTGGGAATTACAATTCGATTGAGCTAGAAAATATATCCTGTTGCATATGTTAATAGATGATATTTTATTATTTATTTTGGCAATTGATTTATTTTTTATATATCAATTTGTATTTAAATTTAATCGGTCAAAATTTTATATTAACATTTTTTTTTATACATCAATTTGTATTAGTTATTTTTTTTTATTATTGTTTAAAAAAAAGGTAAAGATATAAAAAAAATGTAATTGATCTGAAAAATAAAAATGTAATATATCATTGAAAAATAAATTGTAAATTATTATAAGAAAATAAAATAAAATTATAACCAATATTAAAATGTGATAAAATTATATATCAAATAAAAAATGTGGAAATAATTCAAATTCAACATGTAGGCCAATCTACGTCCGAACTTTGCGTAAGTACTATCTCAAAATTTGATCTTGATTTTGCAATGTACATTTATTCTATTTCACGCCTTTATCGATTATAATTCTATTACGATGGATGCTTTGAACAATTCCACATATATGACGAAATTTGTCAAGCTGGATTTCCCCAAATTTAATAGCGATGACAGCGCCTACATAGGGAAATTGCAGAATTTCTTCAACACCAGCAAGATCTCCAACTGAGAAAAGGCCGCTTATTTCTCCGAAGTCCTCCTGATGACGAATTTAATAATATTGGGGCAATTTGCCCTGAGGAAGACTTCCAGGACCCAATCGCCCTCTTGGCAAATTCAAGTTACAACATCCATCGAAGACCGAGAACGCTAAACTATCATTACTTTATGCTGCAACTCAAGGCAAGGATGAGACATTCTTGGCTTGGGTCACGCGTGTAGCACGACTCAACAAAGAATGTAAATTTAATGGCATTTAGAGAATTATTGAGAAAGTGAGCCGTATTCCAAAAATGTCAGAAAAGCGGTCAAGAGCTCTATAACCATAGAAGACATTTACAATCTAGGTCTAGAGGAGACACCGCAGACCCAAGTGGCATCAAGGGCGAGATGAAATTGTTACATTTGAATGAATCTCCTGGTGTACAGAGGTTAATCACATGGGCAGAGTCAAAAATAGTTACGTAACAACCAAACCCATTCAGGACTCTCACGCACATGGTCGCACCCCAGCATCAATGACAATCGCCCCGCATAGCATTTCGATGAACGTTACGATTTACGCTGCGACTATTGCCGTGACAAACGATTTGATGAACGTTACGATATATGCTACGACAACGACCGCGACAAACGATTCAGCGGACGGCATAGCAACTTCCACGACAATCGTTTTGATCAAAGCTACGATAATTGACACTATAACCGCAACCGTTTCGATAATCGCAACGACAACTACTACGAAGATCGATACAACAATAGCGGGTACAACGTCCATGGCAATCGTCACGACTATCATTGTGACCATTATCAAAGCCCTGATCGACGGGATGACTGCTATATAGGTGATAACAGAACCAACTATCCCCGTCCTGGTCAGCACAGACACAACCCTCAAAATTTTAATGTTTTCCGAAATATTCGTCGAGGCCCAACCAGTACAAAAATGACAATAATACTTACAATAGATCTTCTGATTACAAAGATCGTGATTGTCAATTGAATACGAACCATGCTAGGAATATCGAAATAATAGATGATGACGACAACTCAAACACAGCCCTTAAAGAATATGATCTGCAGAATTTGGAAGTGTACAATATGGGGGTCAAGGATACCACATATGACGCATACAACATAACAGTGAGCATCAACGACATACCCACGTTGATGCAAGTTGACACCGGTACCAAGTACAATATACTTCCGAAGCTGACAGCTAAGATTGTAGGCATAACCGCGATACGTAAGACGGACATGAGACTCACTGGTTATGACGGCAGCGCTATCAAGATATTAGGTCTTGCCAATGTGAACGTTAAGTATGAAGGAAACTCACATACACTGGAGGCCATTGTAGTGGATAGTGATAAGATTCCCCTGCTAGGACGTATGTGGCTCCACATCTTCAACAACATTTTAAAAACGTTCTTAGTGGGTAATGTAGAGAATGATCTCGAGAAGATAATCTCGACAACAAAAAAAGACCTCGAATCAACTTACTCCTACAAACCCAAAATGGTCAGACAAGATAAAGTTCACGTGAAGCCCGATGCTGTGCCTAAGATAATATCTTCAAGAAGAATTCCGTGCGCCAAGATAGATGCAACGACTCAGAAATTGGCTTACTGGCTGAAGCACGACAAAATAAACCTTGCTCGAAAGGAATCTAGATGTCCGATGCCATGCACAAGCGATCCTGTTTGGAAATTAGCTAGGGGTTGTCTTTACTTTACCAAGCCATCGTTCGGTTTGAAAAGAAGACTGCACCATGAACATGGGTGGCGTATTGCATGGTGATCATGAGTGTTAATGACGTTACCACTCAACTTATCCAATGAAATCATAAGTCGAATTTCTTTAGAGGGTGGAATGTTGAATATGTTGATCGATGTTATTTTATGATTTATTTTGGAAATTGATTTATTTTTTATATATCAATTTGTATTTAAATTTAATCGGTCAAAATTTTATATTGACATTTTTTTTTCAATTTGTGTTAGTTATTTTTTATTATTGTTTAAAAAAAAGATATATATAAAGAGATTAAAAAAAATGTAATTGATCTATAAAAATGTAATATATCATTGAATAATAAAATGTAAATTATTATAAGAAAATAAAATAAAATTATAACCAATATTAAAATGTGATAAAATTATATATCAAATAAAAAACGTGAAGATTCAAATTCAACATATCCATTATTTATTGATAATTGTTATCACCCACAATTATAAAAATGTGTGGACATATTATTCACTTTTGAATTCTATGTATTTCCTAAAATTCTCACAATTAGAATTAACACTGGGTTTATATTTGTCTAACTTATCTTTACTTTTGTTAACCAATTTTTCACTGTTCATTCATTCTTTTTTTTTCATTTATTCTTTCTTTTCATTCATTCCATTTTTTATTTTTTCGTTTGTTTTCATACATTCTTTATTATTATTCATTCTTTCTTTTTATTATTTCCTTTCATTTATTCCTTTCGTCTTTTTATTATTTCTTTTTAGTCATTCATTCTTTTCATTCTTCATAATTTATTACTTTTCATTTATTATTTATTGCTTTTCATTTATCTTTTTTTTTCATTCATTCATTCATTCTTTATTACTTTTCATTTATTCTTTATTATTTATTCATTCATTCTTTTTTTTCATTTATCCTTCTTTCTTTTCATTCATTCTATCTTTTGATCTATTAATTCATATTTTCTTGTCATTCATTCATTGATTCGCTGTTTCTCCTCATTCATTCTTTCTTTTCATTCATTTTTTCTATTCACCGATTCTATTTTCATTCATTCATTCTTTCCTTCTTTCATTTCGTTCATTCATTCTTTCTTTTCATTCAATCATTTATATTTTTTTCATTAACAATTCTATTCCATTAATAATATCTCCTATTTTTAAATTTACTTTTATTCATACTTACTTTTCATTTATTCGTTCAATTTTTTAATCATTTGTACATTTATTATTTTCATTCTTTTATCTATTTATTCTTTAAAAATTATTTTTTATAAATTAGGTTGCCTATTATTCTAAATATTTTTCATTGTGGATCAAAAATAATTAGGCTATCTTAGTTATAATATATTCTGTACTATATACATGCATAATATATATAATTAAATATATTAAGAACATACGTCGGAGTTTGCTATAGAGGTCTGCAAGAGGTCGGGCACATATCAGTCTCTT